TTTATAATTTTCAATGTTCTCAAAAATAATTTTGTGTTCTCTGAGAACACTGAGAACATCAAATTTTCAACACTGGCTGAGTGTATATCAGGTGATGGCATATAAGATGTCATATTTGTATCCGTGATAATTAAATATGGACGTGAAGCTGTGGTCATTTTTCTAGATTACGCGAGTGATCCATTGATTAGAGTTTGTACAATAAGCACCAAATCAACCGTGAAACATGATATTAAGATCATAGCTCCGGAAATATATATATGTACAAAATTATCGTTGTGTTTATGTTCTTATGAAAATACCTCCTAAGCAAAAATGAATAACTGCGTTATGTTTTTGAATTTTTCCGTTACACATTGATCTTGCAATTTGATTTACCCCTTAAAAATCACATGATCTGCCATTTTCTCTTGGTCTTAGGTACTTGTCAGCAAAATCGTTACGTCCATTATATTATATTCATAAATAATTCTCCGAATCTATCTACCTTCTAAAATATACAGGAAATGTCAAATCCGGCCCAATTGTCCATGCTACTTCATTATCATCTATCGCCTCTATATGAACATTGAAATACCCATCATTCGGGTTATCTAGCCAGTTAACAAGTAATATACACTTGAAGGAACCGTTTTCTACATCGACTTCAGTTTCTAGCGGATAACAGACTTCCAGCTCCTAATAAAACGTAAAATGAGTTAAGGACTAAGATAATAAGCAAAAAAGAAGAGCACCGATCACTTTCTTGCCTTTGAATCATAATACTGGATTGTGTGTGCTCGTTTCGCAAATTCCATTCTTGGTTTTAATGCACGTTCCAATGCTCTTTTACGATCATAGTAATCCAAATTTTCAATTGACCCGAAGATAAACACTTTGACATATCGAATATTACGTCGAGCTAAAAATCGACGTTTCAAATGTAAAAATCATCGTTATTTAACATTGACACAACGTATTTAAGTTATCCTTTACCTATTTTGATATTTGGTAATTGTAGACTACCCTCAAACTGAAATGTCAGTTTTATTCGCCAATCAAAATATTCGGGTCTTCGATTACGTAATGCTTGGATAAGAGCTTCATAGGACGGTTTGGTGGTCATTGACTGCATAATGTAACGAAATTAAGAATGTGTGTTTTAGGGATTAAGAGAAAGCAAGTTTCATTAAACAAAGTTTTCTCTTACATTAATCCATTCAGCCTTTCGAATCACAAAGAAAAGAGGCGGAAGTGATAATGGAATACTTAATATCTCAATCAGAAAATTACGTAAAGTCGTGATAGTATTCTAAAAAATCTTGTTAATTAGGCTTAATAGCAATAAAATAAAAGATTGTTATGTTTTTCTACAACTTACTATTGAGATTGGTGATTTCCTTCTATTACTTAATGATGATCCTTGTTGTTTTTGTCGAGGAACAGTTTTCCCCTTCTCAGGATTCTTTAGAGTCACTAGAAACTGAATAGACCGATCAAATAAGAACGAAGTTAATTTTTCTGCACGATGCTGTGATGGTGTTGTCGTAGAATTAAGTGAGTTTAGATATTGTTGATGTGCCTGCCATAGAATACTCCAATCATAGTTGCTGCTATAAATATAAAATTAAAGAATATAAAATTTAGGGAAACGAAAACATCCATAAAACATAGTATTATTATTATTATTATTATAATAAATCTCACGTGGTCTCTGACATGATGAGCATACTCTGAATGGAGTAGGCTAATATAAGACACACGATCTGAAACGTTTGAATGTTAAGGATAAAATTTATAAAGAGCTAAAAAAAGGAATAATTTGACGTAGATAACTAAAAGGATATAATTTTAGAATTTCCAAACTTTCGGTGTCAATATCAAGAAATGAATGGGCAACGAAGTCATATCCGTGCGATATATTAAAGAATCCCTCTTGAACGCAGCGGATCTACTCATATGATCATTTTTTTATATTTAATAAACCTGAGCCGTAAAAGATACACATAGAATATAATAAATAAATACCCCATAGCTTTCAATTTTTCCATGTCTTATAGCAGCGTTTAATATACCTAAAAGGCTGTATATACAGTTAAGGAATTCCATACGAAGGTTACAAAACCACTCTTGAAACACCATCTTCGTATCACCCTTATTACCAAAAAGGATGGAAATCAATAAAAACCCAAAGGATCATTAATAACTTATACCGGCCACTGCCATACGAATATCATATCATACACGCACCATCAGCCTAGCTTCTGTAGCTCTATATAGTTTTGTAATAAAATCGAAATTTAACAAATATTCCTCGAATTTTGTTGCTGATTCGGTGGCACCTTTTGTTATTTCCAAAACAGACAATTCAACTTGCGCTAGTGTTTTTAGCGCTTTTAAGAAGCGACTCGACGAATCTGATTCCACCTATTATTGTTATTTAGATGGAATAATGAGATGAATTAAGAATAGACGGGAGAAGCTAATGAATCCTACTTGAGTCGCTAATGAGTTCATAATATCACTCATAATCTCAAAACATCCGGTTATTGCGGCTTCTTTAGCAATCAAGTATAAGTACCACTTGTTTTGCGTATAATGTTCGTTGTTCCATCCCCCAAATTTCCGGATATTAGCAATTACGTTATTGACGAGTGCAGTTCTCTGAGTCACAGTTATCCAAGTGCCGAAAGATGCTTTGAGTGTAATCTTCATTAGATTTGTCTATATAAGAAATCAACCGATGCAATTAAGTAATAAACTCATAGAATAATTGTTTTAACAGACGAACGTTTACTGAAACTTACAAATATTTTCGGGCGTTGCATTATTATATCAAGATTAGAATTTGATATAATATCTTTCGCTTGATTTTTGATATAGGGAGCGTGCTGGCTTGCGAATTTCGAAAGAAATTTCTGTAAAATTGAAGCGAGGTCATCTAAAATTAAGTTTAATACTCGCGTAAGAAAGACGACGACATAGATAACACGTAAATCTCTATCAATAATCGTACCCTCTACTTTTATCAACATTCCGAGAACCTGGCGAAGTAGCTCTTCAATCAGGTATTGCTGGGTAAAGCAGAGCGAATATAAATTTTCTAGATATTCTTTTATCTGTTATTCGTGATAAAAAAAGGTAAGAAAATTATAACGCTTTCATGAAACCCAAGTAGATTAATAATGTAAATTTCGCATGCCTGTTTTAGCACGTAATCACTTCCTTGGTCATGATTAGTTGACGATGAAAGAAGCAAAATACTAGTCCAGACAGAATTTGCAGTTTTTACAGGGAGTTCTTGGAATAACTTTACTATAAAGAATTTTAAGAATTAATATGGTGATTCAGTAAGATATAATTGAGCTTAGAGAAGATTCTCACCGAATTCAGGGGAGATCTCGATACTGCCCTCTGCATTAATTCGTGACATCTCATTAATCATGACGGTGAATAACCCAGCGACAGCCAAACATACTTTACTATTTGAGTTTTCCAGCAAGTAAATGCAGTGATATAAAACGCGACGAAATTTTTCAAAAATATCGCCCGAATGCAATGAGATGAGTTTTTGGAATGAAAACGTGCGCCTAAAATCAATTGTGATAAGACGCAGAACTTTTATAATAATCGTATCTGTGGCGGTTCCTAGTAGATTAAATAGTTCCTATATTTTTTCGAAAAAATAAGTTTCCAAATCAAGGAGAAAAACAGGTTATTCTAATAGCGAAATGTTCTTCTAACTGTAAAATGATCATCTTCTCATACCAAGATGCGTGTTACTCCCAATGAATCGCGATTTGCTATATTTTTCGGCAGCAAATCATTTTCAATCTGCCCATTTTCTCGAATCAAGAACGTGAGATCTGTCAGAGCCCATGATTTTACTTTTTCACGTGGATCGTTTAATATATACTTGAATAATAACTCTATCTTGCAAGGAAAAAAATTGACATTATTAAATCTCAAAAATGAGTTATATATTAAAGAATCGTGAGCTCCGTATCTTAAGCATCTCTATACCTGGCTAGCTCGCAGGACGCGTGCACGATTTGAGAGTATTGTCAAGGTGCGTAGAATTTTTAATACAAACATTTCTTCTGAATCGTATTTATTGAGTAGCTTACGACATATAGTGTTTGACTAAAATGAAAAAATTATATTATTAAAAATTTCTAGCATGTGCTGAGATAACAGTAAGTAGTATACCTGTTTCGTTAGCTCGATATTTCCATGCATGTGTCGAAATATCATTATGAGTTGAAGCTTGACCGAAGAAGATACATGGTCTATGTTATTTTTTAGTAAAACTATATTAATGAAAATGACTAAAAACAAAAAATCCTGGTATATATACCTTGTATAACCATTTTTTGCGCTCTCTTGAAAAGAAACTCGGGGAATTTTGTCAAAGTCTCCGAATTCGCACACTTTGCGCATATTTTATCTGCAGTATTTATAGCTGCTTTTGCTTCGGCTTCTTCGGGAGACACAAATCTTTCGAGAATCCTGGAGATCGAGCAAGGATCAGAAACATGGTAGACATTTATTTATACATGATTTCTTAAATATTACCAATGCTGAACATTCAATCGCCTATCTGTTGCTAATAACGAATGCATATACCCAAGCGCTCTAATCAATGCAAAGATAAAAATATAAATTCACGAATCTTTGTGAACAGTAAACAAATACAAAAGATTTAAAAGATCAAAACCTTAAGCTCAAAGTCCTTGCATACGGATCATTGTTTTGCTTGCCAAGAATGCCCGCGATATCATTAATCACTCGGTTAAAACAGTCATCGTCTTCTTCATCATTTTCGACAAAGTATTTTTCGCAAAGTTCAAATACTTTAACGAATTGCACTCGTATTCTGTTGTCCCTTTTATCTCTTTTACTAAGAAAGTGTATACATGTAGTAAATATAAACTGTATCCATCTCGAGCTTAATACGAAGAGTACGCAGGTAATTCAATGAAATGGTCTGTTTACGTTTTGTCGGTATCAGTAAAATGACTTGAGAGTTTAGTGAATAAACTCTGCCGGAAGTTTTGGTTCGGATATTCTTCTAACAGCTTGGGAACACCAGCAATGCCACCCAACTTTTTAGCCGGATCCAAAGACTTTAAAACGGTAGTCTCAAAGTTGTAAAGTGCAGTATACTGTTTCGATTGAGAAGCCATTGATTAACCAAAAAAAAAACGCGTAACTATTGCCAAAAACCCAATGTGAAGGAATTTATTGAATTTATTGACTATCACATGATATACCCATTATGATGATGAGTTAAACGACGATCTAAACACTCGTAAATTTTTCTGGATGTAATTAATTAGAACATCCATTAACAATCTTACGTGCAGAGAATTTTTTGAAAAGATTTTGTTTTTTGGTCTTTGTGTAGTTTTGTCTTTCGACCCTTCTTTCACCTTTTTTAAAGCATCGCAAATATATAATTTCTCAAAATGGTAAGTTTTTCACTTGTCCTACTTTTATTAAGAGCAAAGTCAAAAAAGCTACATACAATCTGATTTATAACGCGAAAATTATCAATACAAAGTGTCAAAATAAATGTCTGTCAACAATCCTAACGAAAATACATTATCAATACCAATTGATTTCATATTCTACCCATCCTCGATCCCTATAGTCGATATCAAAGAATTCCAAAATGTTAAACCTGATAAACTATCGGCTCCGCATTACACTGGCAGATTCACGTGTTCTAACGGGGCAAATGTTGGCGTTTGATAAACATATGAATCTCGTGTTAGCCGACTGCGAAGAATTCCGTAAAATTAAACCGAAAAGTGGAGCTAAAGTGCCTCAGGGGCAGCCGGAGCAAGAAGAAAAACGGACGTTGGGATTGGTGATATTGCGCGGAGAGACTATTGTTAGTTTGAGCGTTGAAGGGCCACCTCCACCAACTACTGATGATTCTAAAACTAAATTGGCACAGGTTGGATTTTTGATTAATAGAGCACTTTCAATTTGATCTTTTGTATGTGCTTTTTCTATTTCATTACAAAGATCAAGAATTTTTCTAATTTGTCAGTAATCTATTCTTTATTATGTTGCTGCATAGCTTCCAGGTGGTCCTGGTATAGGACGACCGGCTGGACGAGGATTACCTGTCGCACCACCGGGTATAGCACCTGCAGGTAATGAACATATTTATATAATATGTAAATGTTTGATTGCATTATTGCTCATTTATAATTAATTTGATTTTCGTAATAAAAAAGGACTTACCGGACCCGTTCGTGGAATTGGTGGTCCAGCACCAGGAATGATGCAACCGAGGGGTCCAGCCGCGCCAGCAGCATCGGCTGCCCCAATATCATATGGTCGTCCACCGATTCAAGGACAAATTCCACCAGGCATGCCAGGTATGACAAGGCCTGGTATGCCGGGTGGTCCTCCACCAATGGCGTATAGACCAGGCATGGGTCCACCTCCAGGTATGCCAGGTGGTGTTGGACTTCCGCCGGGTTATCGACCTCAAGGTGCTGCACCACCTCCAGGAATGAGACCACCGATGGGAATGGTATGCAAAAAATTTTAAACTTTCGTTTTTAATTTTTATATGTTATTTATGCTTTGTTTGTTCAGCCTGGTGCTCCTCCACAATATCCTCCTCAAGTTGGCCGTGGCGGTCCGCCTCAGGCGTAAGTTATCAAATCAAGTTCATATATTAGCTATCATAATTTCTATTTGTAAACTTGATATTATGTTTATTTTTTATCGTATAGTTATCCAGTACCCGGTCAAGCGCCCCCACAAGGATTCCGACCACCTCCACAAATGCGTCCTCCACCCGGTGGATCTCAACAAGGTCAAGGCCGTGGTGGTGGCGGCGGCAGCAGTGGACAATAATAGTAATTGAAAGTTTATAATTCAAATAAATCAACTATTAGTTCAAGAAGACTTGTATGCAAGTAATCAAAAAAAATATTTGCTCAATAGATTATTATTAAGATAATACTTTATCTTTCAACTTTTAATTTCTGGTGATTTAACAAAGAATATCACTTCTGTTAACTTTCAAGACTGATATGCATAATGAATAGATTTTGTATCAGTTTTGAATAATCAGATTTGAAAATATCATGTATTTTACAATTATAAATATTTAATATATATACTTATATATAATCTTTGTGATTATAATAATAATAATTATATGAATAATTAATTTAATATGCTATATATTATATTAATTCTTTAAGATAATTAATAAAATTAATAATTAACAAATTAATTATAAAAATAATATTAAATCAAGAAATTCTTGATAAAATAAGAATATTATTAGAATTGTAAAATTAAACATAATATTATAATATTATAAGTATAAATACTAAATTTAGAAAGTTTATAACTTGTCTTATTAAATTCTTGTTAAATATAAATTTATTTAAAGAATATTTAATTTATTTTATAAAATATTATTTTTTATATTTATATATTTTATTTTAATATTTAAATTTTATTATTATTTATATTATATAATATATTTATCTTTATTATAATAAATAATATTTAAATAAAAGTTTAATAATTAATAAATTTTTTTTAGTAATAAATTAAATAATAATATTTAAAAATTAACTAAATTTATATTAATATTTATTTAATATTATATAATTATTTAAATATTATATTAATTATAATATTCAAAATATTCCTAAATTTATTCTAATTATTCATAATAAATTAGTTTTTTATATTAATAATATTATTATTACTATTTAAAATTATAAATATAAATTTTAAGATTTTAATATTTATATAAGTAATTTATTTATAAATTAATCAGATATTTTTATTTTTTATAAGATAAATAACTTATTTTCTAATTATAAGTATTATATATTAAAATTTATATTATTATTTATTTAAACTTAAATTAAGAAAGTTAATATATAAATTAAAATATTATAAAATAAATAATAAAAAGAGTAATTTTAATTTTTAAATAAATATATCTTGATAAAATTATATTTTTTATATTGATAATAGTTATAATTATATTATTTTTATTAATAATATTTTGATAATTTTATATATAAATATAAAAAATAAAAATAAGTAATTATTTTTTTATAATAATTAGATATCTGATAATTTTTCTTATATTTTGATATTTATAGATATTGATAATATAATAAAATTAAAAAATATCTAATATATTCTTAAAGAATATAAGTTATAAATATAAGATTTGATAAGATAATAGAATTTATACTGTAACCAATCATCTATTTATGTAGTGTAGTAGATGTGATGCAATATATGGTACAGCTGCAACATATAATATAGTAACTACTAATCACTACTAAATCAGATAAATAAGTAATTTATATTAATTAATCTTATTTATAATTAATTCTATTTTTAGTTTAT